CCTGTTCCAAACGTGCTCTGGTATTTCCAGAACGCCTCTTTGGGAACCGCCTTTGGGGCCCTTGTGAGCCCACGTCAGCTGTCCTCCTAACCCGTCACCCTGCTTTTCACCAGAAGTGGTGGTATCCACAGGGTCACACCACACCTACCTGACCCTCCAGACCTGGTCTGGAGTGACTTTGGGCTGTTTCCACATTTTTTTTTTTTTTTTTTTTTTTAGTGTGGTTTTCACCTTTTTTCACCAGGCTGGGGTTGAATTGGGCGGACTCAGCTCACCACAACCTCCGCCTCCTGGGTTCAGGCAATTCTCCTGCCTCAACCTCCTGAGTAGCTGGGATTACAGGCACGCGCCACCATGCCCAGTTAATGTTTTGTATTTTTAGTAGAGACGGGGTTTCACCATGTTGACCAGGATGGTCTCGATCTCTTGACCTCGTGATCCACCCGCCTCAGCCTCCCAAAGTGCTGGGATTACAGGCTTGAGCCACCGCACCCGGCAGTGTTTCCACGTTTTGAGTCTCTTTCAAGGAAAGGACACAGCCCACTGAGGGGACTAACAAGAGCGCGCCGAGGCTGGGAAGCTGGCTTCCCGAAAGTGAGTCTAAAGGGGTTTGCAGCCACCTGGAGGGGTCAGCATTGGGTTGTATGTGTAAGCACTGGGATTGCTGGGAAGCTGTTTGTTAGAAACAAGGCTGATGGGACTCCTTGCCATTTCCGGGTGACTGGGAAGAGAGGAGGCTGCTGCCTAGTGACCTGGCTCCTGGGTTGCTCAAGGCCCCAGGGAGTGAGGGGGGTGGTGGCACACCCAGTCTTTCTTGCAGGGAGGCTCCGGGACTGCTTATCAGGGCTCATGTCCTGGGCCACAAGGTTGAGCGCTGGCTCAGTGTGGACCTGGCGCTTGGTGTTCCTAAGTCCTGGCTTGTGACCTTGGCCTGCTCACCTTCCGTAGGCCTTGGTATTTTTGTAGGTGACAAGGGATGGATTAATTCACCTCTGCCAGCTTCTCCAGGCACGGTGAGGGGAGCATCTGTTCCTGCTCACGGAGGAGCTTTGGGTATTTCTCACAGTCGTCACTCAGGAAAGGCCCAGCAGAAGTACCGGGCTCCAGGCTGAGCGTTTCACCCACGTCATCTCCTCGCCACAAGCCCGTGAGGTAGTGCTAGTACTGTCTCCATGATGCAGAGGAGGAGAGAGCAAGGGACTTGTGCAAGCCGAGAGGCAAAGAAGGGGCAGACATGACATGAGCCGGACGCAGACCCTGATATGAACTTGGCTGCGGCCGCCATCTGCTCTCAACACCAGCTTCTGTTATTCTCAGGCCCACCCAAGACACTCTGGGGAAAGGCCTAACCTAGAATCACAGCCCCCCCTGAGTTCTACAGAATGTAGGAAAGTATCCTGCTACCGTCGCATCCTGTCAGAGTGGCCTCCAGAGGACCCCGTCACCTCCAGGACTGGGCCTGATGCCCTGAGATTTGCAGCAGGGTTTCTTGACCTCTTTGTAACCCCCAATGGGAACTGTCACCCCACACACATTCTGACAGACAGGCCTCACTCGACCCTTGGTTGAGAATTACTGTGAACAGAAGACGGCCTTTCACTGGAATATTCCCATTGGTGAGAAGGATTTTTCTCAAACTTTACTTCCAGAAGTTTGTTTCAAAATTTTTTAAAATTTCTAATCTTGTGGCTAATAAAAAAGAAAAAAAGATTTTTTTTTTAGAGACAGAGTCTCACTCAGTCACCCAGGCTGAAGTGCAGTGGCGTGATCATAGCTCACTGCAGCCTCGAACTTCTGGCCTCAACGCACCCTCCCACCTCAGTCACTTGAGTAGTTAGGACTAGAGGAGCGTACAATCGTGCCCAACTGGGAAATTATACTATTCCTTTTTTCAAAAAGTATCTATTATGCACCCACTCTAGTCCAGGCTCTGGGGACTATGGTAAACAAGAGAAAATCCTCAAAGATGTTGCTCTAGGCCAAGCTTCTGCAGCCAGAAGAGATGGGAATGCAGGGTCTATGGGGCTCCTGACAGGGTCTGACCTTCCCCTTGGCCCAAATTTCAGTCCCTCTGCCATTCCCAACAGGAGGCTGCCCCACTCCGCTAGAACTCATTCAGTGATGAAAAGCTCCCCCTGCGGCCCCTGACTTCTGTCCCCCATCCCCCCGATGGTTCTTGTGTGGAGCTGAACTCTGTCTCACTTCAGCCTTCACTGGGGTCTGAGTCTGCCATCTGCTCCTCTTCACATGACTCGAGGGACCCAGCTCCCTATCCTGGCCCTCAAAATACACAGGGGAAGAAATGTGTCATCTGCTTTTCTACATGGTTGTCACCCGCAGGGGAGGAGGGTCCTAGACCCAGGTTGTGGCGCTCATGTGGATGCCTGCAAGCTTCAGAGAACCTGCCCAGGGCCAATGTGCGGGAGTGCGGAGAGGACCCTGAAGCTCTGCTGTCCCACTTGAGGGATCCAGAGAGATGCAGCATGCGCTAGGCAGAGAGCACCGCATGTAACCTGCCAAAATGCTTGGGCTCCCTGCCTTTGTCACCATTCCCATGCCACAGGCCCAGTGAATCCCCAGGGGAGAGATAATGGGCTGCTGTTTAAAAGAATACAATAATACAGCTCGGTCAGTCTCTTGTGTCAACACTCCAGCTAAATGAGAGGCTGAAGAGCAGGTCAGCCAGCCAAGGAAGGTCAATATTGACTCAGGCCCTGCTCCTGCACCCAGCTCCAGCCCGCAGGGACAGTGCTGCGGTCCAGCAGCAGCTCAGGCCAGACTAGCCTCTGACCTCTGTTTACTGAATCTCGGATCCCAACCCTTGCCTCTCTCCTCCTGGTACACAGCGCTGGGCTTTCCTGGGCATGCGGTTGTTTCTAAGGGAAGACCTGAAGAATGGCTTCCTGGGATGGCTGCAAGCCAGGGACACTCTCACTACCTCAGATTCTCAAAAGCCTCTGCACACAGAGGTCTGGGCCCTCAGCATAGGGACCTCATTGCCTAGCTAGAAGGAGCCTCTGGCATCCCTAATCACAGGACTGCCTCTTTTCTATAGCCCTTAACTTTCCAGACCCCTATTTCACCTCCTCACTTTACATTCACAGCACCACTGTGAGTTGAGCTGAACCTGCTTTGCTGGGCCCATTTTAGACAGCAGGGAGCTGGAGAGAGGAGGAGACAAGAGAAAAGGAAATGCTTATAAAGTGCCTAACACATGGAGATACTGTGCTAGGTGCTTTTTATTAGGGCATCTAATGGCTAATTGTAGCTATTGCCAGCTCCATTTTACAGATGAAGAAACTGAGGCTCAGAGAGAAGTAATTGTCCAAGATCGTAAGTGTGGAGCTGGGATTCAAAGCCAGATCTCTCCGACTCCAAACTCCAAGCTCATCCACAATGCCCAGTGCCCAGAAAAGTCAAACTACCTGCCCTGCATCACACAGCTATGCAGAACAGAGATGGGACTGGACGCTCACGCCAGAGGCTCCCTCTGTGCCAGGCAACACTGACAGTTCAACCGTCACCCATGAACACATAAACATGTGTGACATGTGCAGGGGGCACAGCTGTTTCTGATGCCCAGGCCAGATCCTATTCCAGAAATGGCCCCTTCCCTTGGTTACCACGAGGTCCAGAGACCCTGAATTAGGGTCTCCCACCATGTGCCCTCCAAGGTCTCTTACTTTTACTTTACTCCTATAGCTTTACTCTAATACCCTCTGACAATAGATTGCCAAACAGCCAGACTGCCCTCAAAGTTGTCCGGGACGGGAGACCTTGTAGTGGTTTAGTCCTTCCCAACACAGCAGCTGGAGGCTTACCGGGCAGCCAACTGCCAGAGTTACTCCCCACGACCACCTTAGGAGGAAGGCAGTCGCGTTCCCATTTTACAGATGAGGTCATTTAAAAGTGTGTAGAGGCCGGGCGCAGTGGCTCAAGCCTGTAATCCCAGCACTTTGGGAGGCCGAGGCGGGTGGATCATGAGGTCAAGAGATCGAGACCATCCTGGTCAACATGGTGAAACCCCGTCTCTACTAAAAATACAAAAAATTAGCTGGGCATGGTGGTGCATGCCTGTAATCCCAGCTACTCAGGAGGTTGAGGCAGGAGAATTGCCTGAACCCGGGAGGCGGAGGTTGCAGTGGGCCAAGATCGCGCCATTGCACTCCAGCCTGGGTAACAAGAGCGAAACTCCGTCTCAAAAAAAAAAAAAAAAAAAAAGTGTGTAGAGAAGTGAAGCAACTTGTTTAAGGAGTCATAGGCAAAGTCCGATGGATTCAAAGCCCACCCTTTTGGCTCCAAATGTGTCCTCAGCCACTGTTCTATATCCTATGGAGGAGAATTCATGGCATTGCAGGCTGATCATTACCTTGCATGGAATCGGGCGGCTTTTCCACCCAGTGTGGCAACCTATGCCCCCCTCATCCAGAAAAACATCAGAAAAACCCCCCAAAACCCACTAGAATAGGGTAAGATACAGAAAACGCAGCCTACGCTGGGGAGCTCTTCATGGCTTAGCCTCTGGTGCTTCTGGCAGCACCTACACTCCAGATAGGATGCCACTTCGGCAGGCCTGGAGAGGTGGCGAATGAGCGGCAGCTTTACCTGTGACTCCTGCAGGAGAACTGGGCCTGCCACCACCCTTCCTGTTTGGGAACCTCTTTCCCAGCACGAATTCCCTGCACTCTGCCTCAGCGACACCCTTAACCCAAACAGAAGACCTGATGGCAATCAGACCTCTGAAGATGGGCCCAGGGGCAGGGCAGGCCATTTGAAGTCTTGCCGTCTCCCAGCCTACCGTGGGGCCATGGGGCGAAACGGTGGAAGTGAATTAACATGCACCCACTAAGGGTCGAGAGACAGCACCCAGAAGGGGGACCACCTCTGCGGCCTAGCAGTACCAGGAAAGAGCCAGCCCCGGAGGGCCACCCGCCTGCCCACTGTCCCTCCCTGACTGCTCTTCGAAATGGGTGCAGAAGGCCCTAGGGCCGCTCACTCACCTCCTGGTGCCTTCCGCCTCTTTCTCGCGACTCCTCACCCCTCAGTGGGCTGCTCTCTGAGGCGCGGAGGAGAGAGAACACCTGGGACCTTCCTGGGCCAGTCCTCCGCAGGCCTGCGCAGAAACAGATCAGAAATGCATTATGGCAAATGTAGCAAGTGTCCCCGCGGGTGTTGCGACTGGCCGGCGTCCAGGGTTGGGAACCGCCCCGCGCCCGCCTCCCGAATGAACTCCTGGCTCAGGTGCAAGAGGCGGCAGGCTCCTCGCGGGGCTCCTGGGGAGAAGGGGACGCTGGGCGCAGCACCGCTTCCGGGGCGGCCCCTCTCCAGCCGCACTCCGACCCGGCGCGGCCACCCGGCCCCCCTCACAGGCCCCACTGCTGCGCCCTCTCGGGGACGCGAATGCCCCGCGCCGGGCGGGCGCTCGCGGAGGGAGGTCCCGCTTCAGGGGCTCGGAGCTCCCGGTGCCTGCGCGCAAGGCCCCTCGCCTGGGACCGGCTGGTCCCGAACTTCGGAGAATGCACCTCTGGGAAGGGGACCGCGCGTGTTTGGAGGTCCATCCCCTCGCTGCCACCCTCCAGGGCGGCGAGGGCACCCACCTGAGGAGCGGGAAGCCCAGGAACGCTCGAAAAGGCCGTGGGAGCCGGGCCCGCCCTCCGCGGGAGGAACCTCGGCGCGGGAACGCCGAGGAGGGGCCGCGCTTACACGTTGGTGCGGCGTCGGCTTCACCTGGCCGTAATTTTGATTTCAGGGTGTGGCCTCAGGTAGGACGCGGCGGCGAACCCAGAGCCCGGGAGAAGTTTGCCGAGGGTCGCTGGGGCCTTGGCCAGGAGCCGCTCTGCCCGAGGGGCGCCCCGCTGCCCAACTCTTTTTCTCCATCTGCTTGGCCCCAGCTCCCGCCCGCCCTTCGCCTCCGGGCCCTGGCCTGGCCACAGCCGCGGGGACCTGCCTGCGGCTCCACGGCTAGGTGGCTGCCGCACAGAGACCCGACCTGGTGAACCAGCTGAGCGCCGGCTCTGTGTGTAATCCACTAGTTCACTTTCAAAGCAGATGCACCCTCCGGAGCCGCGGGCGGACTCTCCCGGACCTGAGCCAGGCCGCCTGTGTCCACCCACACATCCTGGAGCGCCCACGCGGGAGTCCGAAACCCTGGCACTTTGGATGGTCTGTCCTATGTGGACAGGGCCCCAAGACTGTGCTGGGGTAGCCCCTTGTGCAGGCAGGAAAGCGGGATTTAAGAGATTACAATTCCCTTGTCAGACCTTGCACAGTCCTGAGTCTTGAGGACCTTCTAGCCTAAGTCCTAGGGCAAAAGACCCGCGCAGACAGAGAGCTTCCAGGAGCACCCTGCCCCTGGAGAGGCTGGGGACTGTTCCGGAGCCCTCTGCCTGCTTGTCCTCAGTGGTCCCTGCCTAAGATCAGAATGGCCATTCCAAGGGACTCACTCTTGGATACCCTGTACCATGTTTCTTTTGGGGTACAGGGTTTTTTCTATATTGGGGGAAGGGGCAGGGATCACCCCAGAGAGAGGCTGCTTGCTGGTTGAGTGCTGAGGAGGTTCTGGCTTGGAAACTCAGTACATCTGGACTCCAAATGGCTGCTCTCAAGTGGTGGCTGGGTGACTGCCAGTGTCACAGAGCAGGGACCAAGGACAGGGCAGGGACTTCAAAAATCACTGTGAGGCACCTCAGACTTCAATGATTAACTGAGGTCACTATGGCCACCTATTTTTGTTCACGGATTCTTTAGACATATCAGTGCTACTCATGGCTCAATCCTTTGTAGTACAGGCTCTATTGGTTACACACAGTTTAAGGCACCCACCAAATAGAGCTCAGGCAACCCGTGGGAACCGCCAGCCCCAAACAGGTCTGTACCCTGTGTGGCTGCATCACAAGCCTGATACCCTCAGCTTTCCTAGGGAAAGCATGGTGCCAGCTGCAGATGCTGGTCCTGTGTGCTATGGGACAGTGGTATGGGAGGCGGTCAGCTAACCATAGGTCCTCACTGCTGTCCCCAACATCCCCAACACATACTTATATTTAGTCTCTGTTCTCCTTTCCTTACTCCGTCTCCTCCTCCTCCTCCTCTTTGTGTCTTTTCCACACGGATTTTTTCTCTTTCCTCTGACTGGACAATACGGTAGATCTGACTCTCTTTGACAAACTCTGACCTGTTGTGGTCACCCAGGAAGCTGACTGCTAGGCCTCAGGTAAAGGGGCCATGGGAGGGGGACCAGGTGATACAAGAATTGCTCCCCCGACAGGTTAGTTACCCAGGGACATGGGCGCACTGGCCAAATGCTGGCTACAGAAGCAGAATGTGCTGCGTGGAGGCGGGTAGGGGGCGGGAGAGATTGGTTGCTGAGGATTTGAAATGAACCATGAACCAAAGCTAGAATGAAACGCATGATATTGTCTAACCTAGAGTCAACACCCTAAATTATTTTTACTGATTCATGAATGCACATGCGAATTATTTTCTTTTACTACAAATGTCTTACATACCAGAACCACAGCTCCAAGCAGTACTTTTGAATGGAACTACAATAAAGTATGAATGTTAGAATTTTACCAGAAATGGACTGGTCTTTAATGTGGTTTGAATCCAGGCTTAGGTACCCCAGAATGGCTACTAGCCAAGTCCCATCCTCACCCTATAGAGACTAACTCTAGGAAACCCTGGGTTCCTCCCACCCCTTGGGAGCTACAGTGGGTTTGGGGCCTTGAGAGAGGCAGAGGCTCAAGTTAGACTGACCAAGGAGGTAATGAGTCCCCCATCACTGGAGGTATTCAAGAATAACTATCAGTCGGGCAGGCCAGAGAACTGGATACAAGACTAGAGTAGGGAACCTCTCAGGTCCAGCACAACGCCAGTTTTCTGGACTTCCAGTCTTGTCTACACGAGGTTCAGCTGCACTGGGTTGCACGGTTCCCCATTACATTGAGACAGCTCTTCCCGCACATTGAGACAGCTGGGGATTCACACTGAGTCAGCCATTCAGGGTAGGTCCTGAGTGATTAATTCCTGTGTGTGACTCTCTCCCTTCTCTATTCTCCTCTGATCCATGCCCAGCTCAGCCCTGCCCAGGAGGAAAGGGCAGAACAACAGCACAGGAAGCATCAGGAGCAGTCTGGGGACAGTGTCTCCTGCAGCATCCACGTGCCACCCTCTGGCCTTGTTCCCAGGTTGCTGTGCTGAGCCCAGGGGGCTCCAGGCACACCTTCCTTTGAGGAGCCTTGGCGGCTGGCACAGACCTTCTGGTTGAAGGAGCTGTCCAGGTACTTCCATTCTACAAATTGGGCAGGAGCAATGGAAGAGACACCCACACAGACATTTTACCACGGGACATGGCTGTTGGAGTGCTGCCATCTCAGAGGCATTGGCAGACCAGTATGGACGGGAGGGCAGCAAGTGGGCACATCAGGTGGGGCAGGCGCTTCCTGGTTATCCTTCAGCCTGTGGCTGTCGGGGCCTGTTGTAACATCTGAGCACCAACAGCCAGGGCTGAGTGCCCGGGCTAGGGCCAAAGAGGAAAGATACAGGTCAGCCTGTGGTTTAGAAAGACAAACACATTATCCCTTTCCTGCGTCTTCCTGGGGGTGAGGAAGGAGACTAACATGCTCTTTTACTCCTTCCAGGGTGCCTTCCTCTGGGCAACTCCACTCTCCTCTAATAACAGAAATAATCATGCCTGCCAATGATGGAATGCTTCCCGTGGGCCAGGCCCCGAACGAAGCTATGTACCTGTGCTGCCTCAGTCAGTCTTCACCACAACCCTGGGATGGAAGTCCTATACTATTACTATTCGCATTTAACAAATGAGGAAACTGAGGCTCGGAGTGGTTAAAGAACAGCTGAAGGTCTCCCAAGTCCTGCTACAGACTGAATGTTTGTGTCTCCCCAAGATTCATCTGTTGAAACCTAATCACCAATATGAGGGCATTAGGAGGTAGGGTTGTTGGCAGGTGATTAAGTCACAAAAGCAGAGCCCTGATGAATGGGGTCCATGCCTTTATGAAAGAGGCCCCCAGAGAGATCCCTGGCCCTTTCCATCTTCGAGGTTATAGCAAAAAGACAGCCACCTCTGAACCAGGAAGCAGGCCCTCAGCAGACACCAGATCTGCCAGCATCTTGCTCTTGGGCTTCTCAGCTTCTAGAACTGTGAGAAATAAATTTCTGTTGTTTATAAGCCACCAGTCCATAGTATTTTGTTATCCAGTCCAGACAAAGTCAGTTACCAAATGGAGGAGCTGGAATTTGAACCGAGGTGTATCTGACCCCAAAGCTGGTTCTCTCAACTCTGTGCTGCTCAGAGATCTCTGGTTCCATGGAATGTTTGAATGGGCGGTGGGGGGAGACCAACTCAGACCTTAATAGAAGGTATTTGCATTTAAAAGAATCACTGCCCAGGAAAGCTGTCACATGAGACACAAAAGGGCTTGGCGTGGGGGTAGGAGGACTGTCCCTCCCCTGTTTCTGAGTAGCACATGAGGATCCCCAGTTGGCACTGGGTGTGAGGGGCAGAGGGGTCCTCGAGTTCCCCTACTCTGTCACTGAGTTCCCTGCTAGGAATCGGGTGCTAAGCTTCCCTGGCCAGAAGCCGGAAACTGCCTGAAGTCCCTGCCTCTCACATCTGCCCTTCACAGACCTAGAGTGGGCCCAGCTCCCTCAGACCCTCAGGCAGGACCTGCTGGGAGGTGGGGCATGTGTGCTGGACGCTTGGCAGGAGGAGCCCTGTGGAGCCTGGGCTCCCAGAGGGTTGCTGCCTTCTCACCCTGGAGGCCTGGGAGAGAGGCACTCTTTGGAGAAAATCCTTTCTTCTCCCTCTCCTCCAGGCTGCCCAGCACCTGCTTCTTCCTGCTTCTCACCCCGATGGGACCCATCTCTCTCTGCTGATAGGGCCAAGAGGGAGATGCAAACTTCCCAACCTCCGAGTGCCTGGAAGTGGGAGCCAAGGGAGCTGACACTGCCAGGCCCTTGGGGTACCCAGGCAGAAGGCAAATTGACGGAGTCTAGCTGCATAGCCATGGGGTCCGGTGGATGGGAGCTCTCTTGCCTCTAGACTCACAGCATGTCTCCAGGCTCAGTTTCCTGATGTGTGTAATGGAAAGCATACCTCTCTCCCTCAGGAAGGTGGTAGAATGATGGGGTCCAGAGCACTGGGGTACAGGGCTGTGGAGTAGCAGCACCCCCAAACGGGGCAAGAGATTGTTAATCCTCAGCCCTCACAGCTACAGAAGGGACCAAGGAGAAAGCTCCCCTCCCTGCCCCCGGGCGTGCACACTGCAGCCAGGTTTGATGTGCCATAAAGTAGAATCTGCAGATTTGTCCAGAAGACAAGGCTACCACTTGCTGCTAAATCAACCCGACAGGTCTGTTCACCGCAGATTCCAGAAGGAGGGCCCAGCACCGGGGAGTAGCACTATCTGGGGCCTGGCTAGGTGTTTAGGAAAAGCCCATGGGTCCCCACCTGGCTGCTGGACAGACGTGTCCTGCTGATACCTTGGGCCTCAGCAGAACCTCGATCCTCTCTCTGCCTGCCTTTCTCTCAAGCTCTGCATCTGTACTAGGCTTCCTGTGCCAGCGAGAATCCATAAAGCCATCCTCCCCAAACACAAGCTGACACTGGGGGCTAAACCTGACTAACAGTCCCAAAGGGGCCCGGTGACCCAGGAGGAGCCCCTCAGATGCAGGACCATTGCAGGCTACGATGCCCATCCCAGGTGCATCCTGGGCTACCCTGGGAAGGGCTGGGGAACAGCAAGAGCCAGATCTGTGGTAAGGACACTCATTTTAAATGTGACAGATTCATTTCATATCTTTCGCTACAATTGTTTTGCAGTGCCTGCTCTTTATGGCCTCCAAAGTTCTATCCAAATACCTTTCACTGGCACTTTAGCTCTCTGGCTAGCAGTTTTGCTGGCAGAACTAACAGCTGGATGCCTCCTTGAATGGAAAACTTTCATTGTCTTGTCTTCTCTCTTCTGAGCTTCCAGGGATTGCTTCAGGTCTGAGACTGGGGCAGGGCTGAGACTGTGACACCCCTGTGTGGAGCCCAGTGCCTGACTTTCAGGAAGGACAGGTAAGTGTGGGGGAGCAGAGGCCTGTGTCTGACTAGGTGAGGGCCCAGGCCCCCAGGGAAGAGAAGGGTGTGAGGAAGCAGGATATTGGCTGCCTGAGGCCCGCCCCCAACACTTCGGGCAGAGCACCTTAGCTCCAGATGCACAAAACTCACAGGCCCTGGGCTGTGCGGCCCCCGAGGAACACTAACTAGCTGGCCCAGAGTCTGTGGCCTCCGCATGTGCCCTAGGTCAGAAGGCAGGACCTAACTGCCATGTGGCGGGGCCGTGCTATCCTGGTGACACCACTGCCATACCCTCATCAGTGGCTGGTACAACAGCCCTTGCTAGGATGATGGGCCTCATCATCCATGAGGCAGCCCCTCCTCCTGTCCTGACCGCCCTCTCCTCCACAGGAGCCCTGAATGCCTGCTCACTCCTGGCCTTGCATTCTTCCCCCTGGGTCCGGCTCCATCCCTCCCAGGATCTGAGACCTCTACCTCTCCCTGCCTTTCTGAATCCCAGACACATCACCTTCCAGCAAGATCCACTCTAGTGGAATAGACAAAGTCTTCTTGTCTAACTTGGGCCTTGTGACTGGTAACAGGTGACAGGCCTCCTGCTTCTGGGAAGTGACCTCTGATGGTGGCTATTGGACATGTAAATGCCTGCCTGCGGTCAAAAATCTCCACCGATGGGAAGATCGCCTGGGGAACAGGGCCTCTCAGGTGACTTCCCTACCCTCTGCCCCAGAATCTCTGTTTCATCTCTGACACTCAGCATGACTCCCTTCTTTGGCTTAAGACATGAAGTTACCTGGGACAAAAAGAACTTGAGTCAATCCATTTATAAATTACTTAGATCTCTTCATCAGCGAGTGGCCTGGTCCGCAGGAGTGGCCCGGGTGCTGTGTGCAAAGTTTTTCCCTGGGAAGCACTTGACTGACAAGCACAGGCTGGGCTGTGGTTTTGTGTCTAGCAGGATGCAGCAGGGATGGCAGGAGGCACCCAGGATCGAAGGGTACCTGCCTAGCCTCCCAATACATCAGGCCAGGCCACCTCTCCCAAGACATCAGTTTACCCAGTGGCTGTTGCCTGCTCCCGCAAGGGCCCCTTGAAAGCATGGGCAGCCTGGGTAGCAAGAGTCCTGGGCAGGCATTTGGGGATCCCTGGGCTGGAAACCGACACTGCCATTATTAGCTGTGTGGTCTCAGTACCCCCTTTCCTTCTCTGGACCTCTGCTTCCCACTCTAAAATCATGGGGCTGGATGAAACATCCTCCAGGGACTCCCTCTGGCTTGAATGTGCTACGGCAGTCTGAGACGGCCAGCTCCTTCCTGGGCAGCCTTTTCCTCCTTGGAGCTCCTCCCTGCTGACCTGGGACTGTGCTCCGGTGGCGCAGGAGGCTGCGGCATAACTGGTCCCCTCACTCCATCCACCCTCTGTGCTTTATTGCACAATTCCGTAAGCAAGGAAATGGAGGCTGGAGACTCTCCAGGCCAGGAAGCTGAACCACAGAACGAGTCCTCCCGGTTTGAAAGTTTAACTCTGCCACTGCTGCAGCCTTTAGGGTCCTGGTCACCAGGCAGGCAGCAGGAGGCCTTGGGTGAGGTGACTGGTTTGTTGCTCTTTCCTGAGTTGAGTGGGCTGGTCCCCACTGCAATGGGAACAGAGATCAAAACACAGCCCCAGCTGACCTGAGCTTTCTGGACCTGCTTCCCTGGACACCCAGAGGACCCCTCACCAGGTCCTTGACAGCCTGAAGGACACAGCTCTGCTTCCAGACCCTTAGCCAGAGGCCCAGGGAGCTGACTGCATGGAGGCTATGGGCAGACCAGAGCACAGGAGATTGCTGCCTGGGCTGAGAGACACTAGGGTTTGCTGACCGACGCAGCACTTTAGGGGAACAGGAAGAACAGGTTGCCACAGAGAATCCACAGGTGTACAAAAAAAGTCATCACTGTCCCTGTACGCGGTGATGAGGTTTTGTAGGAAATCCTGGCCAGCAGTGGTGTCCCTTTGCTGGGGCCGAGGTGGTTGTGACTCCTTGTGTGGTTATGAGGGAACCTGTTTTCTCACGTGAGCTCCCCCAGCCCATGAAAGCCGGTCACACTCTGGAGTTGCCTCGTTTTTCTGAGGTGAATAGACTTCAGGATTACCTTTCCTAAATTCACAGAATGGATAACCCTTTGTAGAAAAAACAGAAAGTCTCTGAGACAGAGCCTCCCGATTACTAGGCATTTCCATTTGCCAGAGTGGTCCAGGAGCCCACGTGCCCCGTCTGCCCCTCTGCCGGCCACACCGCCAAGTGTCTGCTTTAGATGGGGCTCAGCAGAACACAGCTCCTTGTGGAGTCAGGGCCAGCATGTGACAAAAGCTTCCAGGCCCAGAAAGGAGTGGGGCCAGGGCCACAGCGGCACTCTTAATACCTCCAATAGGTGCAGCCACTTCAAGTCTAGACCCCAGAAGGAGGAGTCTCCAGTATTACTTCGAAAGCCTCAGCGGACAAACAATGTGCTATTTGGGAAAAAAAATAGACCTGGCATCATGTTTCTTCCTACCCTTCCTGGGCATTCTGAGCGCTTTCGTTTCTCCTCAGAGGAGGGTTCTTTCGAAGTCACCTCCTCCATGAAGCCTTTCCTGATTCCCCTGAACATGAAGGTCTCTCCGGGCACTTTGTTCCTCCAGTACCCGTAATCACCACATTGGTAACAGTTCTCTTTTGCTGAATACGTGCATGCCAACCATGCTGTTCAGAGCATTCACTTATCTCATTTAATCCTCTCAACAACCTTAACTCACAGGTACTATACTTATCTCTGTCGGACAGTAGAGGAAATTGAGACCCAGAGACATGAAGTAACTTGCCCGAGTCACCAGGAAGAGGCAGCCAGGGGCCTGAGGCTCACGCTGCTGACTGCATTAACCAACCACCATCCTAACAACCACCGTCCTGCCTCTTCCCGCCCTGGTGTCTCTCCCTGAGCCTGCTCTTCCTGCCTGCAACTGCAGACAGAAGCTGCTTCTTCCTTTGCCTGTCATCCTCAACTTATCTTTTTTATGTCCATCTTTATAAAGTTCTATGTGAACAACCATTGCCCAGTATTGGTGTAAACTTATAAGTTATCTGGACTGGATGGGTCATGGCTGCCAAATTCAGCAATGAGTCTGGGGCCCAGCGTGGGCAAAAGGACGCAGCCACCCGGGGGCTGATCGTGGTTTTGTGGCTCCACTTGTTTCTGGTGGGGCTGGCCCCACGCTCAGCTCAGCTTTTCCAACATTCCTCTGCTGCAGGCCTGTAAGGGCATGAGCTCTGTCCTGCCATGTCCACCCCCTCTTCCCACCACCACTGCTTGCACCTAGTGATCAGGCCATGGCTGTCATCTGCTTGGCAGCCTGTGCACCAGAACAAGGAGCTGCCGGGACCCCACACCCTGCCTGGAGGAGACATGTTCCCCTTTATCTCACGTGTCACTCTTCTCATCTTAGCCCTTCCTGGGCCCTAGGGCCGAGCTCTGATGGGGTGGAGGGTACCTCCTCAGATGGGGGAGCTTCCCAGGCCCAGGCAGACTGCTTGCCCTGGACAGGAGGGACATTGTGGGCTTCAGGAAGTTGAGAACTCATTCTGCCTCAGAAGCTTCCATTTACAATGCTCCACCCCAACCTGCTGACTAGTCCACCTCTTTCTACCTAGGGCCTCCTTCCTTGAGGCCCACTAGCTGCAGGCGGCCAAATGACTCCTGATGAGCTTTGCTGGGGTCCTTCCTGCTGCCCAGGTCTCAGGCACTGCTCCTGCAGCCTGGCCTTCCTGCTCAGGGTGGTGAGTATCTTAGAGGAAGGACTCTCTGCTTCAGGCCACAGGACAGCCTCCCGTGGGTCCTTGCTGCCTTCTGTACCCAGGACACTGTGTGCGGTAGGCATCTCTGGGCCATTTGGGTGAGGAATGCAGTCTTTCGGCGTCTCGGCCTCTTCCCTGCCCAGTCCCCTGTGCAGAGGGCCTCTCCCATAGATGCAGGCTGGCATAAGAAAGCCAGCTGTCTGGAGTCCTCCCTGAGCCCTCAGGACTCCAGGCAGCCTTTTCCTTTCCTGCCCAGCCTGCCCTGGGCCCCACTCTCTGCTCCCTCCTGGCCCCGCCTGCTGCCTGTTGCTGGCCTGCTGTCTGCCTGGTGCTCGACACCCTTGTCCCTCTGTCCCCAGTTGGGCAGCAGCCCTGCCCAGGTCTACATACATGGAAGACTCCCAGGGAGAGAGTCACCTTTTGTGAGGAAGCAGGAGATACCCCACAGCTGGGTCATTCTCCTCATCTGGAGCCAGGTATGGGAATTCATGGCGGGAGAGACACTTATGGGTTCCTCCTGACTCTGAGCCCATGTGGTCCTCCAGGTTGGGGGACTTTTTGGTCATCCTTAGGTGTTGTGGACAGAGCGGGGTTTCCTTGGCTGGAGACCTCACCCTCTCCACCCTTCCTGTGCCTGGCAAGTCTGGGAGGGCCCAGAGCGCTCACAGAGCTTCAGTCTGTCCTCAGGGCACTGGGCCAGCCGTGTAGTCCCCACAACCCACGCTCAGGTGCACGGAGCTTCCAGCCAAATCAGATGCTCCCAGAAGGGTTTCTTCTGGTGCCGACCCTTTCTGGACCAGGTCCTCTGGTCCACTAGGGCTCCCAGGTGCCACCTCCAAGCTTTGGACTGGGACAACTGCCAGGAAAGCCTGCCTGCAGAGGGGATTCCTTGCCTGGCCCAAAGGCCTCAACCCCAGCTAGATGAGCTCCCATGGGGCTGAATCCCAGGCCCGACAGCCCCTAAACTCATCCTCTCTTCCTGCAGCCCAGTTCCCACCAGAACCAGCCTCAGGAAGGCCCCAAGCAGAACTGCATCAACCTCTTGGTGTACAATGCCAGGGAAAGGACAACTGGAGCCTGCAGGACATTAGCCTTCTTCCTGGTGGGCCCAGTGTTTTATAGGCCCAAGCTCACTGGGCCCGATGTCCCTGAAGCTGACCAGGTCATCCTCCCTGCAGCAGAGGTGGGGAGCCCAAGGCCTGTGAGGAGTGACCATGCTTGGCCAGGCAGTTCCCTGAACCTGCCCTGATGCTGAGTTTCAGAGTCAGAATCTGTGCCAGGTCATGCCCAGCAAAACAGTGTGACTTGGAGCCCGGGACCCAGCAGTACGCGCTAAGTATTTGTGGAATGAATACGTGAGGGAAATGTCCCTGAGGCGATAAGGCGAGAGAGGCCTTGTAGAGGGTTGTCCTGGTGGCACTGGCTTTGCCCAGAAGGTGCAGGAAGCACCTGCAGGAACAGCATATACAAGCATCTCTCCCTCTAGCTGGGGAGCCAGAGTGCAGCTGGGATTGGATTGTTTCACAGTCAATCTGGAAAGGGGGTGCAGGTTGGGTGGGGATGGGGCTCCTTGACCCAGGAACCCACAGCTGTGGAGTTAGCCACCCTGTACCAGATGGGGGGGGCAGCCTGGACACCTGGGCACTCCTGTCCCTAACCCAGGAAGCCTGAGCACGCAGCGGCAGTGGGGACCTTACCGTGGCTGCTGCTTCTGGGCAGCGGGGCCCCACGTTCTCCACTGCAGGCTGGTGCTTGTCTCTAACCCAGGAAGCGGCACTCCCTTCAGGCAAAATAGAAGAAAAAAAAAAGGAAAAGAAACCTCAGTGCTTTTCTCTCCCAGCCTCTTCTCCTGAAGGCTCCTGGTTGGTGTGGTCCTGCCTCTGTGGGCACACAGCCCCCCTCCCTCCAGCAGCTTACTCACCGGTGTGCCCGCAAAGCTGCCAGCTGTGTGGGGGAGGTGGGACCTCCCCCCTTCTCCTGACACACACTGGGGCATGCCCTGTGGGGACCAGGGGCTTGAGGGTGGCACCCACTGGGTCCTGACTGTGGGAAGCCATGCCCTGGCCAGCGCCCTTCTCACTGAATGTGTCCCTGTGAGCTCAGCAGAGACGCACATGGGTGCTGCCTGGCCCTGCATGGGAGAGTGACAAGGTTCTCGGTAGGAAGCTGTTTCCTTGGTACCCAGGCCTGCCAGAATGAGGGGGCAGCTGATGGTCTGTCCAGCCCCCGGGTGATGGGCTCCCACCCTTGGCCAGCCCCTCTGGACGGCTTCCTACCTGGGCATCTTGCTGTGTCTCTGTCCTGTGCACCCAGACAGGGCCTGGGCCTGCTGGGGCTGGCAGCTGCTCCTCACCCTGCTCAGGCTGTGTGTCTGGCGTCCCCTCTCCCTGACGCCCATCTCAGGGCCTGCGCCCACCCAGCATCAATTAGGATAAACTGCTGTCAAGCCTCCAGCCAGCTCTCTGCTGGACCCAGCTGCTGCCCCAGCAGAGCGATGGCACACACCCCGGCTTACACGCTCTTGCACTCACACACACGTGGGTCCACGCCCAGCACGGAGCCACCTACCTGCCCAGGCCAGCCTAAGCCAATCCAGCCTCGCTCTCCAAATGCCACTCCGACCCCAGAAGCCACTCCTTTACAGAAACATCCCCGTGGGAGATGAGTTCAGAGCCAGCCCGGAAGGACTCCAGTCATCTCGAACAAGACTGCCCTTCTGTCCCGACACCTCCAGAGGACACACAGCGGCAGCCTGACCACCATATCTGCTATTGCACTCTGCCTGCTGCCACAGCCCTGTGGGCACCTCTGGCCCCCACAGCATCTTCCATATCTTTAGGGGGTGGGAGCAGACTCACAGCACGTCCCATCTTCCTGGAGCCCAAGGTAGGGAGGGGGGAGCTAGAAGGGGCGGGACTCAGGTGCAGCTCCAAGTTTCCAGCTCCCAAAATAATCAGATGCAAAGGAGAAGCAGGAACAGCTCGAGGCGGGTGGTGACTCAATGCCTGTGGGCCGGCTTAGTCACCTGGATGGCTGCTGGTGGCTCCTGGCACCTCAGGACGGGAGCAGCGCCCTCCCCCACCTGCCTGGACCCGCGGCTGTCTCGGGAGCGCGGCCGCGGAGCCCAGCGCCCAGGGCTGCGTGGCAGGCGCTGCCGCTCCACCCCGCTCCCGCCCATCAGGGCCCGGCGGCTCGGGCCGCGGCGCGCCCCTCCTCCACAGTTCGCCCCGGCTCACTTTGGGATTTCTCCATTAAATCCTCAGGCATCGACCTGCTCGTTTGGGGTGCCGAGCTGCTCCAACGTTGCTTGGCAATTTTGATATCGTCTGGGGTTGCCATGGGGAGGAAGGTGATGTCATTGACACAAAAAAACCCACTGAATTTACAAATCAGCTGGGGCTGGAGCTATTTATAAAAACACGTTTTTTTCTGCCTTTCTTTGCTGAAAGGGAGGAGAAGGAAGGGCTGCCTGCCGGGCTCAGGGTGAGCCTCCCTGCTGTTCTCCCTACTTTTGACCCCGAGAAGTCAGACTTCCTTGGCTGACCCCCACCCCTACCCCCAGAACTTGGAGCTGCGGATTCAGACCTGGCAGGTGCTGGTCTCAGCTGGTTTTGCTTGGAAGGCTGAGCGTAGCACGCAGGGAATGTGAAGCAGGGTGGGCGCTGGCTTCCTGGGTTGGCAGGGACCAGAAACCAGTTACTCATCCGCGTCCCTTTATTTCACGGCCCCTGGTCAGAAAGAGGCATTTGCTGGTAAGGCAGCTTGAGCTCTCTGTGTGACCCCCTGCCAGCAGCTCCCCAGAGTGCCAGGTGGAGCCCAGCCTTCCCAGTGCCATCCCCACCCCTAACCTCAGTGTCTCCTCCACTGGCTCCTTTTCTTCTCCTAGTGTCCAATCGTGGGCTGCCCAGGCTCCAGGCCTGGTCCCCTGCTCATATCTCCCCACACTCAGCCACCACTCCCGTCAAAATCTCTTTTTTTCTGTGGCTCGCCCCAGAATCCATTTTGTGCCTACCCCACTTCAGGCACCACCTCCGATGGCCCAGCTCCCACTGCCAGGACCTACTGCTACTGACAGCCAGAGGGAAGCCTGGGAGTTCTTGACTCTTCCCCAGTCCCTCATATCCAAGGTGGCACTCAACTCTACATTTTATTTTTGAAAACTCTTTCTTTCTTCTGTAGTGAAGCCCTGTGGTATTTGGTTAAAAACCCAGTCTTGAGTTCGCATCTCAGCTGCACTGTTCATCAGTTTGAGTGACCTTCTGCATGCTATTGAACCAATTGAACCTCAGTTTCCTCATCCATAAAATGGGGATGATTTCACCTGCCTCACAGGGCTGTGGGAATTAAATGAATAAAGCTTCTGCTCATTTTGATCCCAATAAATATTAGTTTTTATCCACCCACCCACTGGTGGCAGGTTAATCTTCACAAACCATGACCCCAGACACCTTCTGTGCAAAGGTCTCAAGCTGCAGGCATTGACATCTTGATTGAACGCAGTGTTAGATGTCCTGGCACTAAATATAAGAACTTCAATTTGTGGTAGACATGAAACATTTTCCCTTTAACTAGGTTATCAGTTTCTTTTAGAGAAGAACTCGGTATTTTTCTTTTTGTATCTCCAGGTAATTCTGTGTGTAAACTTAGTTATAAATAATCCACTTCTGCTCTCTCTCACTAACAAATAATCCAGGAAATGCAAACTAAAACAAAAGGGATATGCCACTCCCTGTCATCACGCAGGGGGAAAACATATGGCAGGTGGGAGAGTGAGTTGGTACAGTCTTCTTGGGAGGGCAGTTTTATAGTCTTGACCAATATTTCAAAATGTGTACGTACTTGATCCAGCAAATGTACTTCTAGGAATCCAAGTTAAGAAATAGTTGCATATCAGCCTGAAGATATTCGTATAAGAATATTTACTTGGCTGGGCATGGTGGCTCACACCTGTAATCCCAGAACTTTGGGAGGCTGAAGCAGGCAGATCACCTGAGGTTGGGAGTTCGAGACCAACTGACCAACATGGAGAAACCCCATCTATACTAAAAATACAAAATTAGTCAGGCTTAGTGGCACATGCCTGTAATCCCAGTTACTTAGGAGGCTGAGGCAGGAGAATCACTTGAACCCGGGAGGCAGAAGTTGTGGTGAGCTGGAATCGTGCCATTGCACTCCAGTTTGGGCAACAAGAGTGAAACTCCATCTCAAAAAAAAAAAAAAAAGAATATTCACTGTAGCACTGTTTGTACCTGCAAAAATTGGAATTGGAAGCCACCAAAATATATATCAATTAGGCAGATTAATTGGGGGGTGGATTAATACAGGATGGTACAACCCTATGCAATGAAATATCTACAGCCTTAAAATATGAGTTTGGTCATCCGTATGTATGAGGAAGGATGACCATGATAGTTGAGAGAAAAGACCACGTTGAACAATGTTAACTTGAAAATATGAGATGGCATAATCTCATATAAGCTTTTTATTTAAAGTTATTTCTATATCGTATGTTTAACCACAAACTATCAGTGTGGTTATCCTTGGAAACAGGAATGGTGAGAGGGGTCTTTCAATTTGGACTTTTTACACTCTTGCATTGTTTCAGTGAACATGTGTTTAAACAATACAAAATTAAAACTAAAGGAATGTATGTTTTTAAAACTAATAAATAGGCTGGGCGCAGTGGCTCATGCCTGTAATCCCAGCACTTTGGGAGGCCGAGGTGGGTGGATCACCTGAGGTCAGGAGTTCCAGACCATTCTGGCCAACACGGTGAAACCCGTCTCTACTAAAAATACAAAAATTAGCCTGGCGTGGTGGTGGACACCTGTAATCTCAGCTACTTGGGAGGCTGAGGCAGGGAGAATCGTCTGAACTCGGGAGGCAGAGGTTGCAGTGAGCAAACTGTGCCACTGCAGCCCGAGCAACAGAGTGAGACTCAGTCTCAAACAAAACAAAACAAAAACCTAATAACAGAAACTCAAGAGCTATAGAGAGGACTTAAAATTTATATATTTGAACGTTTTTCTCCATAAATTCCACTTTAAGGCGATGTGGAGATACAGAAAACACTTTTTCTTCCCTCATGTATTTCAAAGTTTCAGAAATGTTGTCTTAGAGGGAGGGGCAACGTGAAGATGTAAAGGCACTAAGGCAGGAGATAGAGTTTATTAAGTTAAATTCAAAACACTATCATCTCATTTAGATAATAATTACAATGACTCTCTTTAAGAAATGTAACATTTCTAAGTTTCTGCCAGTTTATGAGAAGCAGGCAGAAATTCCTGAAGTAACAGCAACCTCATAAATCAAGAAACATCATGTTTTCCAGATTTTTGCTACAGTAGCTAGCAGAGATAATAGTCATTTCATGAAAGGAACTGAGAACAAAAAAACCCACCTCCCCTGAATCTGCATCAGTCATGTTCTCCAACTGCCAGTCTGGAAAATCAAGTCCAAGACAGGACCTACGCCCATCAAGGGGTCTTCTAAGTGCCAGGACTGACTCCAGTCCCACAGATCACCCCCACCTGGATGAGAGGTGCTACCACCATGCTGTCCACCCAGAGCATCCCTGCAGGGAAGGAATCTGATTGGCTGGCTCATATGCCTATCTCTCAGGCAGGGTATCCTATCCTGGAGACAGGGCTTCCGTTACCACATGATGCAGGGAGGAAAGTTAGGGTGCTGTTACTAAAGCAAAGGGGAATGAGTGCTGAAGGCCAAACACCAGCCAATGGTTGCCATAGCATCTTTGCCTCTTTTTCTAATCGTTTTCAATTCCTGAGTGTGATAATCGGCCATCGTTGATTCCTGTCTTGTGAAACTGATGGCCTGTGCAAACTGAGACCAGTTCCTCTATTCTATCATGTTTCATGACTTCCTGTCTTGATGAGAAGATCTGCAAATTTAGAACCATTGTTTCCACAGGCTGTAGAAAGTGGGGCTCTGCTGGCCTGCAAAGGTTGCTGCTGCTGCAGGGGGCAGGCCGGCAGATGCTTGGGTTTCTGGGCCAGTGGTGGGCCCTAGTACTTGGCACAAGGCAGGTGCTCATTGAAACTTTGTTGAAGGAACCAATAAACATTTTTAGAGGTTCTATACACTAGCCACCTTCCTTAGAATGCGTGAATCCCAGAGCCGAAAAGGACTCTAGGGATATCAGTCCCACCCCTCCTTCTACAGGTGAGAAAACCACAGCCCCACGAGATTAGGTGACTCAGCAAAGCCTCCGAGAAAATTAAAGGAAGTCAGGAACTCAGCTGTTCCTCCTCACAGGCCCATGGAGTTCCCCTTGCTGCCAATGGCAGGCCCATGCTAGCAGCAAGCCCTGAGTGTGACAGATCTATAATTTGGTCAAAGGCAGTGGTGGTGCTGTCACCAAAGACATTTCTGCCTTTGAATTTTGGCTCCCAGGGATTTGTAGCAGTGGGAATCAGCCAAGCCAGTGTCCTTGCAATTTCTTTTTTTTTTTTTTTTTTTTTTGAGATGGAGTTTCACTCTTGTTACCCAGGCTAGAGTGCGATGGCGCGATCTCGGCTCACCGCAGCCTCCGCCTCCCGGGTTCAGGCAATTCTCCTGCCTCAACCTCCTGAGTAGCTGCGATTACAGGCACGCGCCACCATGCCCAGCTAATGTTTTTGTATTTTTAGTAGAGATGGGGTTTCACCATGTTGACCAGGATGGTCTCGATCTCTTGACCTTGTGATCCACCAGCCTCGGCCTCCCAAAGTGCTGGGATTACAGGCTTGAGCCACCGTGCCCGGCCTAGAAAAAAAAACTTTTTAATCTCACACACTTAACACAGAATACTTCTGTGACCAGATGTGGGGAATTTTTTCCCCACACACCAAACTGTTCTCCAGCAGACACGAACTGGGTGTTCTATATTAATTTCAATTCTTGCCTGTAATCCCAGCACTTTGGGAGGCCGAGGCAATTTCTTAAAGTATTTCACTTTACTGTGTTTCTGTTAATGGACATATACAGTACTTGCAGCTTCAAAAGTAAATTGCCTCACCTGCACTATTTTGGTGAGTTGGATTCAGCTGGAACAACTGCTTATATCAACCTTGTCCCACTGCATGGTTTTAAAAAAACATCTGGGGATGTGTTTGGAAAGGCCATGTAGCAATGAAGTGTTAAACATTTTCATAAACCAGTGCTTCCCAACTTTTCCCAAAGAATAATAAAAACTTTTAGAAACAAAGCCTAGGGCTCCA